GCTAAATACAATTCATCTTTAGTATATGATTGAAGTTCATCAACTGTAAATAAACGTTCTTTTTTTATTGGATTTTCTTCATCAATTCTTTGACGCTGAACAACAAATGAAATAATTATTACAAAAATAAAAGACGCCAACCACCATTTGTAACTACATACAAAAGAAAAAAAAAGATAAATTTGTCCGATAAGAGTATCTAGTGTATAGATAATAAAATATAAATAACACTTGTTTGATTCTCTTTTTTGATTCATACATGAATATGTAAAAACTTTAATCATACTTTGATAAGAATGAAGGTGTTTGAGAAAGTTGATTCACAGATTCATCATGAGCTTTGTTATTCTTCTCTTTTGTTGACTAAAAATAAATAGAACGAGTAATTATTCATTTCTTGTTATTTGTTCATAGGAAATATAGTATATTTTTCTTTTTCACGATTCATTTCCTGATCGGTATGTTTTTTGAATGATTTGAACTTCTATAAATTTCCTTGTTTGGTTTTTTTTTTACGATTTATAATTTTTTGCTCTTGCTTAGTAATTTCTCGTCTGGCTATAGAAATGGAAGAAAGAAAAAGATTTCTTGTTGACTTTGCAATAAATAAAATTAAAAAGAAAAAAAAAAGTTAGAATTAAGCCATGATAGAAAGTATAGTAATAAAAAGAATAAATTAAAATTAGTTTTTATAGTAGCCTACCATGATAGTGATTCTTTTCTATTGCTTTAAAAAAATATAAAAATTGTACTTTAATTGCCCACAACTTATCTTTTATCTACAAGATGCTCTAAGCAATAGTGACACATCAACTATTTAAGCTTTTCGTCCCTAACACATAACTAATTTCTTTTTTTCTCTTTTTCTTTCTATTCTTTGTGCATATTTACATGCACTAACGTCCATGATTCTCTCCCACTTTTTGTTTCTCTCATTCTCTCATTTTTTTTTCTTTCTCCTCCATCCCTATAAATATTTGCCGCTCACCTATCGATAGTATAACATTCAATAGTGAGTGAAAATAAAAAAAAAACGGTTTAATCATTCATAATGATACTATATAATTGTCTATATCTATATTTTTCTTTAAATTTATCTTTTTCAGATCTCTATTTGATTTTTTTATTAACTAAAGAAAACAATTTTTCAATCATGGGTGGTAAAGGATCAAAAAAACAACGAACATCTACTGAACTTACACCTAAAGGTTTGCTGTTTATAATCACATTCGTTTTGGTTTTTCTTTATTGAGTTTTTGAATTTCTAGAAATTGATATGCTTAAAGCTAATACTAAATTTACTGAAAAGGGTAAGAATTCTATGCATTTAATATGTTCATTGCAATTTTCTTTTTATTAATATTTTTAGAAATTCGAGAATGGCATACTGTAAGTGTTTTTTTAAACTCGTTTACTTGATCTATGTATTTTTCGTATTTTTTAACTTGTCTTCAGGGATTTTTACGTGATTGTCCAAGTGGTAAACTTGATAAAAAGAAATTTGTTGATGTTTATAAACAATTCTACCCACATGGAAAAGCTGACGCTTTCTGCAAGTAAGTTACTGTATAATTAATTCATATTTTATTGTAATTTTTTTTATTTGTTTTATTAGATATGCATTTGCTACTTTTGATACTAATAATGATGGTACAATTGATTTTGATGAATTTCTTTTGGCTATTGCTGCAACAAGTCAAGGTGATTTAGATGATCGACTTGAAGTTGCATTTGAAATGTATGTGGTTTTTTATAAGATATTTTTCTTATTAAATTACTTCTATTTTTCAGGTATGATGTTTCGGGTGATGGACAAATCGATCAGAAGGAATTGACTAACTTGATTTCAGCTATGGTAGAAAGCTGTGTTTTTTGTTTTACCTTAGTATATATATATTTGTTTTTTTTTTGTTTTAGTATGATCTTGTTGGCGAAACCGATCGTAAAGGTGATCGTGAACCAAAGAAACGTGCAGCTGAAATTATTACTAAACTTGATGTTGGTGGTGATAAGAAATTAAGCAAACAAGAATTTATTGCTGGGTATGTTATTAGATCAACTTTTTCTGTCTTTCTTAACTTTTATTTCTCTGATTAGATGTAAAAATGATCCAGTCATTCGTCGCATGCTTGCACCAAATGTTTAGACAAACAGTAGTTTTTGATTTTGTTTTTTGAAAGACACGTACCAAATATAGACCAGACAAATTTTTGTTGTGTTCTTATGTCTATTTAGTCTTTTTTTTTGTAATAAACAATCACCGATGTACAACAGTTCATGACTGTATGAAAAACAAGACAAAGAACAATAAAAAAGCAGCACATTAATATTATTTTATAACTATTTCTTCATTTCTATCTTGTTACTATTCCAGTAATGATTCAGCAAAAAAAAATTCACATTGATATTTTTTATTGATATTTTAATGGTTTTTTAATAGTGTCTGTAAGTAAATCAACACAAGACGTTTAACGCCATTAATAACAAATAGAATAGTATATGACCTTGATAGAGTAGAAGAAGAAAAAAAAAGAGATTTTTTCAATAACTGTTTGAATCACTCGAGTTGCTATGTAATGTAAGTGTAGAGAATTCTTGAAAATATTGTTCATATTGCTTTGAAAGTTAAATTAAATTTTCAGATTCAAGAAATTATGTTGTATTGAAAAGTATTTGCAAAGATTTCTTGTATTAATAGAATAAATTTTTCTTTGTTAATAAAACTATCGGTAATGTAAGATGATAGAATTTAAAATGATTTGGACTAATAAAAAACATCTGTTTGAAAAGACTTATTATTCATCACTACGTTTCTTTTCTATTTTTAACTAACCAATAGACATATAAGTTGATGCGAATGATCGGCGGTGATGATTGAAATTTTCGAAGAATTTAAAAAAATGTTTTTTTCTTAGTTCTGAGATGTTTTCAAGTGAAAGAAACACGAGAGGAATCGTAGAAAAAAATATTGATAAAAAATTAAATAAAAAAAAAACTCTTGAAAAATCATCGTGAGGATCGGGAATTTTTAAAACTCAATATTCTATCTTATTTTGTTTCGATAGCATTAACGGCAAAGATTTTTCAAAAGTTACGCAGTGACTCAGCCGATCGAACTTCAAATAACAAATAATATTTATAAAGTGAAATGAGAAAAATACTCATTGCTTTACATACTTGAAACACGTTAGTTTTTCATGGCATCTTAAATTGAAGGAAATTTCCTATCGGTTTTGATAAAAAAAAGAACCTGTGCTTCTTATCGATAGAATATTTGCAAGGAAAAAAAGTTTTTTTTTCTGAAGTATTAATTAAAGCTCTCTTCGTCCTTCAAACGATCTTTGAATATTTTTTCAACCGTGTATATTGATAGTTAAGAAAATAGAAGCTAAGAATAAGTATTTGTTGATTTAAAACGTACAGTGCAAGATGCAGAGTAAATATTCTGCAGTCTGAAATCCAGATGATGCGTTTTACATTTGTTTGAACTAGGTAGAAAATATATGAAATCAAAGAGAAATAAAAAAAAGACAACGGTGAAAATGTAACGCTACTTTTTTTTATATATAAATTCTGAAAAAGTAGTCACATTATTGAATTCAACAAACTACATGACTATTATCATAAAGTTATTTTAAAAAGCTGAAATCACTACAAATAATTTCTAAAGACTTCTACTGAAATGAATCATATTCATGAACGAAATCTTATAGATTCAAAGTACGGTAACAATTAATTTTGTTTTTATTTCTTTGTCGAATATTTTATTCGATAGAATGAGTAAATTACTATGCATTAATCGATGATATATCGGTACATTTGATTTGATTAACAACGTTCGTTGTCTGAGTAGGGCAAAGTTCTGGATCGATTGCACAAATAACATACAAATGATGAAAAAAAAACTTTTGTGAAACTAAGTATTTTGATAGCAAATTTTACATATTTATTAAATAGTTCTGTTTGAATGTATCTCTAATGAACGAAACGAAGCTTCTTTACTAGTTACTGGTATTTACTAAATAATTTGAATAACATTGTCAAGTCCTCACTTGTTTGTACATGTCTGCGTAGGTATTTGATACATAGGGTAGTGATTAATCAACGCCATTGAGGCAACACAATATGATCACACACAGGTAACATTGTGATCTATCAAGCAATATTGACCTTGTATACGTAGTCTATTATTGGTGATAAGAATGCAGGAAAGGTTCAGAACAACGAAAAATATCATGATACTATGTTTCTTATTCAATTAACAAACTACTTGAGGAGTGTGGGTGTGGCTTTGGTTTTCATGATGGAAAGATGAACACACTCGCACCCACACCTCAATAATATCTATCGTATGTCTATTTTTGAGCATAGATTATGATAAACCATCGAATGTTTTAGTATATTTTGACCATAATCTTTTTGATCCCAATCTATTCAACATTGCTGTTTTATCCATCGTTTTTAGTTCGTCTTGACATTAAAAGATACCTTCTTTTGAGTTGAAAATGAACTATTGACTTCTAACGAGTAAAATAAATTTTTCTTTCGAAGAGAAGATTCTTATTATTAAATTTTCATTTGCAGCTGAACTAGTCGCTTGTCAATCATTGGCATGTAGTAAATCAACCAATGTTTCTTCTGTCATATAACATATAAAATCAACGTATGGTTTCATTTTTCTTGATGGTACAAATAGAATGTAAAAATGTCATTATATGATAAAAAAAATGATTATGTCTAGACGATGTAAGAAACCATTTTAGAAATAATGCATGTTGTCTACAGATTTTATTTGTTAATGAGTCACTCTATTTAAAATGTATCACATGTAAATATAAAAAAAAAACCAAATTACAATTTGAATAATGATAGTATTTTATTTTATCGAAAAAATTTTATATGAAATTTATTTCTGATTTAATTTAATAGACAAATATAGCGCCAATCAAAGATAGAAGAAAGATAACTTTTAAAATAAAGGTAAACTATTCTAGTTTATAATGAATTCATTGCAAGTATCTTATCCACATGATGAATTACTTACTATTGACTTTAATGAACGTATCAATTCTCTTCATATTTCTCTTATGAATCAACTAGAATCATTACCAAACAAGAATTTATCTTTGGAACAAATATTTCATCTCATTCCAATTATATTTCGATTTCTTCGTAAAAATCTTCAAACACAAGAAAAATTTTCTAATGAATATAATAATCTATCTAATAGTATTCAAAATATGATTTCGATTTTTACTCAATATATTCATGATCGACATAATCATGAAAACGAAATCTTCTTTCTTAAAGATAAAATTTCACAACTTATTGGACAAATTGGTTATACACAATATTGTTTAGAACAATATTGGACAATTATTTATAGTTTAGAACATGAAATAGAACGATTACAAATTCTTCTTAGTAATCCACAAGTTTTACAAATTAATCTACAAAAATTTCAAGCATATCAAGAAAGCCAAAAAATTCAATTAGATCGATTTATAAAAGAAAATGAAAAATTAAAAGTTTTAATTAATAAACAAAAAGATTCAATTCAAATCATACAAACACAAATCGAAATAGATCTAAAAGAATTACAAACAATAAAACCAATCTTGGATAAAATTAAAGTAGAACAAAAAGATATTCATAATCATTGGTTACAAATAGGTTTTGTCATCTTAACAAAAAAAAAATCATGAAATTAACTAAATACATATTTCTAGAAAAACAAAATTCACATCTTGAAAATATTTTTGAAACAACTCAAAATATGGAACATGAATATAATGAGCGAATAAAAACAACACAAATTCAGCATAATCTCGTGCAAAAACAATTTAACGATTTAAAAAACACTTATAAACGAACTAATCAAAATCTATTATCAATTCAAACAAATGAAACAAATGTACAGTAAAATCTCTATATGTGAGCACGCCTTTATACTGAGTAATCTATAGCCTTCGAAACAAATTTCACTAGTAATGAGTCTCTCAAATATGAGTACCTACTTATTGTGAGCAGAGGGCACTTATTTCTGATCCCATAAACAATAAAAGCTTTTGTAATGTGAGTAACATATGTTCTATTGCTCACTCATAAAACAAGAAAAAAAAATGATGTTTTATGTGTTGAGTTATAATTATCAATCATGGAATTAGATATTGAAAGGGGATGGATTAATTGTGCGTATTTAAATGAAACAGAGTTAAAAACAACCTTGAATTAATAAATCGTTGGAATGTACAAAAGATCACCTATGTAGAATAAGCACTTTTGGTTGGCCCCGATTAGAGAGACAACGATGACTATGCACTGGTTCAAACGTCTATATATGGACTAACGGTAAAGACGGTGAACATATCATGAAACTATGATAGCTTTGGATTGATTTCGACTTTTGCAACCGAAGGAAGGAGTATATTAAGAAGCGACTGAAAGGTTTTGAGGTTCAGAAGTCTGGATCTATATGAAATGTTTTAAAATTCTCGAGTTCAATGCTGTCATCGGAGAAAAGCTTAATCCTCATGATTTAGTCATGTTCCATAAAATTCAGCAAATTTCTTGAAATTGATTTCTCTCTAACTAAATAGTCGACATGAATTTGAGTAGACTTATGCATCAATCTACGATTTTATCGATGATCACCGTCATCGTTGCATTTCTAATCTCAATGATGTCCACATGAGAGAAGTTTTATTATAACTTCATTTAGCTGAACACCTATATTTTGACCTTTGTATCAAATTAGATAAAACAAGAAATTGAAAATATTAAAAATGAAATCAATACAGGTTTGAATTAAAATTTCTTTTCCATCAAACAAATCATTCAATTATCCATAGAACAAACTCGTTCAATGGCTTGTCGTGATCAAATCCAAAATCTTCGACATCACATACATGAACTTGAGCTAATAAAACGTTATACATATCATATACTGAAATCGGAAGAGCATAAGAATTATACATTAGAACGTAAACGATTACTCTTTAAACATAATCGATTACAATTTGATAATCGTTTTCATAATTTAAATAAACAACTGACTAATATAATTAAACAAAATCAAAAAAATGAACATATTATTACAATCAATCATATTCATCTTAAAAATGAACAAGATAAAATTACTGCAATGAAGATAAGTTTAAAAAAAATGATTCATTTAAATAATAATTTAGAAAAAATTTTACAAGAAAATCGACTTATTCAAAAAAATGAACAAGAAAAACTTCATTCAATGAAACAAATTTCATTTCAAAAACGAAAACAACTCATTACATATACTAGACGTCTTCATATATTATCTATTAATGAACATCAATTAATAGATAAAACAATTCGAAATTCTTTTGAAATCATTCGATTAAATAATATTTGTCATAATTTTAATAATACTGAAAAAGTATAAATATTTCTCATTTATAAGAAACAGAAAAATTTCACTTTGAATCTTCTAGTATTTTCAATCAATTTTAAGAAAGAAAAAAACTGAAATAATGAAGTAGAACTAAACGAATAAAAAGTTTACAGTTACAAAAAAAAACATTTTCAAAAATTTAGACGTGAAAAACAACGTGCTTCACTTAGCCGGTCTCTTCGTGATAATAATGATAAAATACAATTTTTAACTAAAAAAAATCAATTAATTGAAAATGAACTTGAAAGTAAAATTGATTATTTTCATTTACTTGATAGTAAACTATTTACACAAAAACGTGATCAAAGACTTATATCAAATCGAAAACAATATTCAATTTATTTACATCATCAAAAATTACAAATCTTAGATGATATACATAAAAAATATGATCAATTACAATCATTGTCTGATTATGAAATAAATCATATTGTTAATAAATATCAAGAAAATCAACAATTTAAATTAAATATTCATAAACTTAAACAACAAATAATGAATATGATGAGTAAAAATAAACGTCATATAGATGAATATTTATTATTAAATGAAAAGATTTGTTTATATACACAATTAAATGATATATACAAACAACAACAAGAACAGTATTCATTTCAGATACATAATTTTTCTCGTCGTATTTTAAATTTACAACAAGAAAATAATCAATTATTGATTAGTCTTCAAAATTTACAAAGAAAAGCAATGATTACAACATTAAATCAACATCATAAAGTACTAAAACAAGAAAATTTATATCAAATTAATCAAATTTTATCTTATCGACCATTAATTATTCGTGATAGTCCAATACGTGTTCATAGTGATAAAGCTTTAGAAGATTATTTGACATTTGTAAAACGATATATGAAAATTATTCATCAATGTGTACAATGGCGAGAGAAACTTGCATGGATTAATCAACTTTATTTTGTAAGTTTACAATATTTCTTATGAACAAACAAAACTATAAACATTATTTCTATTTATTGGTAGAAAAAAATTGAACAGATTCATGAACAATCAATAACATTATCAACAAAAAATGAAATAATCTTACAATATAATATCGATTCAAAGATCAAACGATGTAAAGCAATAAAAGCTGAATTTCGTCTACAAGCATTCTAATTTATTAGCATAAAATTATTGATATGAATTATGAAATGTTTTCTTTAACGTATATATATATCTTATATCTAAACAAACATTTCATCTAAAGGGTAGAATAAAGATATATCTAACATGTATTTGATGTCATTTAACTTGTGACAAGTATAGAAAAACATCGTGTAATGAACGAATAGATCTCGTTATACAATACAAGTAGCACTCATCCTACGGACTCGCTTACCATTTTCTGAAAGATAGGAGGTTGTCGCTGTAATGTTAGAAGGAATATTGACTAATTCTCGGCACACTTATTTGATCGTCGGTATTGTCTATAATCGCATGCAACATTTCGCATTTCTTTCACATTTTCTACAAGAGCCGATCGCGTGTGATGCCACAAATTCAACTTCGAGCTAGTCATCAGGGCCATTCTTGATGTATGAATTCATTGAGATATATTTAAAAAAAGGTGAAAAATAAAGACATGCAAAAAGCTGTAAAAAGTAACTGGTTGTACATAATGAATGGCCGCGCTTTGCATCCCATTTTTTCATCACTTACTTCGCCCTATTATAAAAAC